TCTCTCTCTCTCTCTCTCGCTCTCTCTCTCTCTCTCTGTCTCTCTCTCGCTCTCTCTCTGTCTCTCTCTCGCTCTCTCTCTGTCTCTCTCTCTGTCTCTCTGTCTCTCTCTCTCCGTCTATATTAGTTCTAAACTCTTCTGCTTACTGTGAAACATGCTGTGCTTCGGTTTCTTTCTTTCTCACGTTTCTGTGTGTTTGTCTCGATGTAAACCATAGCGTTCAAAATTAAGATGTTTTTCAGAAGTGATACATTTGTGTGGCTTGCCATTTAGTTTTTATTTCTTTTTAGGAAATAAAGTAAGATTCAGAAATGTTTGTTGTTTGTGAGATGGTTTTTTTCACCTGATTTAACATTAAATAAAGAGTTCAGCCAAACATGAAAATCTACTCACCCTCAGTTCATCCCAGATCAGGATGAGTTTGTTTGTTCATCAGGTTTGGAGAAATGCAGCACTGCATCAGTGTCTCAGCAGTTTTTATCAGATCTCGTTCTGACGGCACCCATTCACTGCTGAGCCTGAAAACATGCAACAACAATATTTCCATGTATTCATTCTGCAGATGCTTTTATTCAGACTGACTTCCAAAAGAGGAACAAAAGCAATTAGTCACTGATGGTCGTGTAAGCGTTAGTTAGTCTGGTCTGGTGTGGTCTAGCCGGCGGTGAGTCGTGTGGAGCGTGTGTTCGTCAGCCGTTGGCTTTCTCTCGGTGTTTGCTGGTAAAGCAGGATCTGAAACACAAAACATCACCACATACAAAACAACTGTCACTTCTAATTACTGCTCTTATCATCTCTTTGATATACCGTTACAGGGTTTTGGTAATATTTCGAATTGGTTCAAGTTCTTAAAATAAAATTAAAAATTAAAATTAAAATATATATATACGTTTTCACTTTAAATTTAAAGTTTTAGTAGTTTGTTGTGTTTTTGCTGGTTTTATGTTTTTTTTTTTTAAATGTTCATATATTATTTAATTTTTATTTATGGTTATATAATTTAATAATTGCAATGAATTAATTATTTAATTAGTTGTTATTATTATAATTATTTAGTACTTCAACTTAAATGAAAACGAGGAATGTTGCATTGGAAGCTAGATGAAATTAAAAACAAATATTTTATTTCAAGTAGCCGAAATGTTTTTTCATGGTTTTAGTTTTAGTTGACGATAGTAACGTTAAGCTTTAAACCGAAGAACCTTCCAGTGTGGATGAACGTGGCTTTACTCCAGACTGAAACCGATTCAAAAGCACAAGCGGTAAGAGAAAGGATGCTTTTAAATCTTCTTAACATGGTTTGTTAAATATTATATGAGTGTTTTTATTTAACATTTATTTCATACTAGTTTCTAACGGTGTGATGTGTTTCTGTTTCTGGAATAATTAATGGAGAACCGGAGGAGGACTGCAGATGAAATGAAGCAAATGTTGGGTTGTGAGTTTTGAACAGCTATACTGCATTATATACTCAAATATATGTTCACGAGTTTTCTTGCAGTAAGTTGGACGGATGTGATCTGAAAACTGACTCGACTGTTTGCAGTAGTTTGTCTTTTTAACATGTTTGTCTTAAATTAAACTGATTAACAGTTTTGATTATGGTGCTTTTGTTTGAATGACATTTTCTGAGGTCGGACAGACTGAAATCATGATTTCTCTGATGAGCGTCTAACGAGCATCTCTTGATTTAAGAATGTTTGTGATGAGCGCTGATGTTTCAGTGCTCTGACCCTCCACTAATCAGCAGATATTTATTCTTCAGCGATCAATAACACTCACATATGTCTGATATTAGTGTCAATGAGCCTTTGACCTTTTCATCAGCCTGTGATTGGCTGCTCAGCTGTTGCTACGGGTTACGCACCTGATCCACACGCATGAGGTTGATGTTATTTCTGTGTCACTGTTAGTGTGGCTCATCATGAGCAGTATTATAATTACAGTCCATTAAAACTAAAACATATATATATATATATATATACATACAATCTCAGCTAGTTACCAGCTTGATGTATTAAAATAACAAAAACTGAAATAAAAATTAATAAAACATCAATATAAACGTACTGTATATATAAAAACATAAACTAGTAAAAATGAACCGTGCATGCATATTTTCTTACTTGAACTCTTTTTATTGATGCAACAAAAGGGGAAGAAAGACCATAAATTAACATTTTCAATTGTGAGAAAAAGTCAGAATTGAGAGAGAACTGTTTTTTAGTCTTTTGAGGAAACGCTTCCGTTCTAATCAGTCTGTTGTGTTTACATTATTCTGTCGTTTTATTAATTCATGAATTCTGGTGTTAATGAACAGGGAAGCTGCTGGGCTTCGGAGGAAGTGAACGCCGCTGGCGTCACCAAACAGGAAATGAGCGTGTGTGTCTGTGAGCTCAGACAGGAAGCAGCGCAGGCCTCGCTCTTACCCAACGTCCTGTGAGCTGATAGAGAAGAGGAAGTGGCGGGGAAAGAGGAAGCAGCGTCCATGTGACGCATCACATCCTGTCTATCTGACTGCCTGTCAGCGTCACGTGAGGAGTTTTCACACACACACGCACACTCACACAAACACACACACGCGCACACACACACTATCCTTGTGGGGACTCTCCATAGGCGTAATGGTTGTTATACTGTACAGACCGTATATTCTATTGCCCTACACCAACCCTACCCCTAAACCTACCCCTCACAGGAGACTTTCTGCTTCACATCCAACAACCGCACCACCAGCACTGGCACCCCTCAGGGTTGCGTCCTCTCCCCACTGCTCTTCTCCCTCTACACCAATGACTGCACCTCTAAAGACCCCTCTGTCAAGCTCCTGAAGTATGCAGATGACACTACAGTCATCGGTCTCATCAAGGATGGAGACGAGTCTGCTTACAGACAGGAGGTTAAAGAGCTGGCTGTCTGGTGCAGTCTTAACAACTTGGAGCTGAACACCCTCAAAACAGTGGAGATGATCGTGGACTTCAGGAGGAACCCCCCTGCACTCCCCCCACTCACCATCATGGATAGCACTGTAACGACAGTGGAGTCATTCAGGTTCCTGGGCACCACCATCTCTCAGGACCTGAAGTGGGACACTCACATTGACTCCATTGTTAAAAAGGCCCAGCAGAGGTTGTACTTCCTTCGCCAGCTGAGGAAATTCAACCTGCCACAGGAGCTGCTGAAACAGTTCTACTCAGCCGTCATCGAGTCTGTTCTGTGCACTTCAATAACTGTCTGGTTTGGTTCAGCTACAAAATCAGACATCAGAAGACTACAGAGATGGTTCGGACTGCTAAAAGGATTATTGGTGCTCCCCTGCCTACCCTCCAAGAACTGTATACATCCAGAGTGAGGAAAAGGGCTCAGAAAATCACTCTGGATCCATCACATCCAAGCCATCTCCTTTTTGAACTTTTGCCATCTGGTCGGCGTTACAGAGCACCGAATACCAGGACAGCCAGGCACAAGAACAGTTTCTTTCCCCAGGCAATCTACCTCATGAACAGTTAATGTTCTCCCATTGTGCAATTAAAGTACAGTATGTGCAATAACCTTATACTTATTTATCACCCTAAACCCTAGTACATCCCTACAACTTATTTTATTTTATTATATTCCTATTCCATCTATAGCACCTGTACATACAATTTATTCTTTTTTTTTTTTTGTGGTTTATATTTATGCATGTGTATTTTATTCACATCTCACTTTTATTATCTGTGTGTTGTTGTTGTCTCAGTGTACTGGAAGCTTGTGACACTATAACAAATTCCTTGTATCTGCAAACATACTTGGCAATAAAGCTCTTTCTGATTCTGATTTCTGATTCTGAAATAGTGTCACTGTTTTGCCATTCTGAGAGATGTTAAGGATATCTGGTGTATTAGCAATTCCTAGAAAAGTGTTTGCAGGTGAATTGAACCATTCAGATTGTACAGTAGTGTGTTTAAAGATCTGCTCATCAGCCACGCAGGGAATCTGAGCAGCAATAAGGTCCACAAGTCTGTCATGTCTGGCAGTATATAATCCTTTAAATGATGAACAACTGTTCATGATGTGGGCTACTGACTCCAGGTGTTGAGGAGGGTCATGCAGCAGGCAGAGGGGTGAATGGGTGGAGGGAAACCACAGTGATAGGTTGTATTTTGTAGGAAGAACCTGTAGACGTGCTTTTACACAGAAAGTGAGGATCTCC